TGATCTTCCGGTTTTAAGATGACGAATTAACCAAAGCTCTGCAAGACGTTCATAGTTATGATGCTGTTTTTTTTTTATTTTTATTTTTTTATAAATGTTATTTTCATTAATCTAAAGATTTCACAGAAATCATACACAGACCAACTCCTTTCACCAATTAGGCGCTTTCTGAAGGCAACATTAGATTTGTTTTATTCTATTTTATCAGAGCAAAGGGGCCGAATGTACATGAATGTCATTCTATTTAGATTTGTATCTGGAAATGCTTTTTAAACTCATATATATTTATTCATTCATTTACATGTATCTCCTTTATGCTGCTCTACTCATTTGTGGTGGTCATTGGTCAAAATGTTAATATGAATACTGAATTTACAAGTTATAAACCAAGCATCAACAAAGCAGCAGTTTATTTTACTCATCAAACTGAGCGAAGTATTAATATCTTGGAGGGAGATGTAAAAATGAATCTGAGACCCAAGCTGAAAACACTGGGCACTGCATTCCGCTCCTGATTAATAAACAAATCATATAACAATCCATGAAAACATACAAATCCTCAAGGGATTTTATTTCCTCTCAGACGACACAGCAGATTTTGCACCTGAGAGAGAGACAGAGTGTCACGTCGCAGAGGCGTTCAGCTTGTAAACAGAGTGATTAAGTAAGATTTCTTATTTATATCTGACATGCTGTTCTTAAAGGGGCTCATGGTGAAGGGTCATGGGTTACAGATTCTCTTCGGGCCGCACTTTATCATTAACAAATTTATACACCCTTCCTCCCAGCTGCTCTGGGCCGTGACTGCTCATTATCTTGTCTTATATTCTACAATCAGAGCTGCAGGAAGCAACAGTTTGAAGCCGTGACTCCATTATATCTGCAACAGAAATATATTGGATGAAAATAAGAAAGTCTGCAGTGCCCTCACAGAAAAAAAAATAAATGGATGAGCGTTTAAACAGATGACTTAGTGACATGGCCACATCTCAGCACATATAGCTAACCTGTCTCCTCAGGTTTCCTGGATACAGTATTTATAACCACAAATACTTAAAAGGCTGCAGAAGGAGTGGAAGTACAGGTGCCATACAGAAAAAAAAAAGCATTTTTCTCAAGATATAAAGAGAAGGTAAGAGATCAAATGATGACACAGTATGAAAAATAAAAGTAATTGCAATATAACTCCTGTTTATTGTTGAGATGACTTTCCTTTTTCCTGCCTTCACTCTGGTGTTGTGGGTGTTATAAAACGCTGGTTCTGCTAATGTGTCTGACATTTAGTCTGAGAAATCTAGCTTAGAAAAGAAGCAGAAGAGGAGTACAGCTTGGACAGGAAACAATGAAAATGTTGTTTTGATGAAAAATGCAGGACATGAACACAAAACCTGATTTAGGAAACAAGAGAGTTGAAGAAAAGAAACAAAAGTCCCTCATTTGTTCTCAGAAAAGATACTAACGGCCAAGGATAAAGGTGCAGAGCATAGCGGGACCAATAGGAGGGCCTCAGGATGGGAGAGGAAACAGAGGTAAAGGTAGAAACACCTACCAGGGTCTGCTGGTATCTCAGAGCCTTCCTTTGCGATGCATCTGCAGCCATTGACGCGCTGTCACTGATCCAAAAATAACCTTGCTGGACACCCCAGCATTTCCAGCGGTGTTGGAAAACACCATGCACCGCACAGTCTTATATGCACTCTCTTCACACCAGGTCAAATAAACACCTAAACATCTCCTGCTGCTCGGGTCCTGCTTATGGAGACCGACAAACTGATGGGACGACTCCTGAAGGTGCTGCTCCCCGGAAGATCCAGAGGCTGCGACTAACCCAGCTCCACTTCAGGACTGACAGACAGAAATGGGACAGACAGACAAAGCAGAGCAAAGCCATCTGATGAGGCAGAGAGGCATACAGCGCTTTCCTTTATTAGAACTGCAGACACCTAATAACACACACACACACAAACAGAACTTGTTGCTCCTGCTGCACCCTCCCTGCCACCAAGCCATAAGATGTGTGTGCTTGTGTGTGTGTGTGGATGGCCTGTTCTTGTTTGGACAGTGGCAGTGGTGGGGGGGTGGAAGCTGGAAGGGCACCCCTCACAGGGCTGCCCCTGCAACGTGAGTGGGAAGGTGCACATGACTCCCACTATGACAGCTCACACCTTACCAGCCAGTTGAGTGAGGCATTCCCCCTCACATGCTGGGGCCTAAAGAACCCGGCTGCAGGCTGCTCTGCATGTTCCCGAAAACTCTTAAGGACTCTTGAGTTCATCCACACCACACTCCTTATACTCCTATACCAATGGGGAAGACTTGCACTATTTTAAAATGCTTCCATTGAGTCTCACTGCCAACTGTTTAATCAGGCAAATTCAAAGTAAAGTCTTTCAAAGATTTTCCCTGGATGTTTCCTCTCAGTGTCTGTCAAGTCATATATCTGGCCATGACAGCAGATTCTGCAGTTACAGTTCATAAAAGTGAGTTGCTCTTTCCTGATTCTGAGTCAATATCTACCTTTACTGCATGGAGTTAAAGTGTCTTGGTTCACGTGTGATCAACAGTCACTCCTAATGTAAAACTGTTGATTTACAAATTGTATTTTACAGTCTTCGCCTTTGAAGCACAGGATAGATTATAGAAATAAGTTATATGAAGTGATTTTATGAAGATAACTTCATCAGGCGGCTTAGGCGCGGCCATAGGAGATAGAGTGAGGATCTGTGAGCCTCGGACGGAGCCCTCTGCTTCTCTTTCAAAGGAATCAGCTTTTGTTTATGCTTTAATTACGTTTTGCAGATAAGAATAATATTACACAAAAATCTTGATTCAGAGCAACAGGAAAATGCTTTTAAAGGTCATCTGGGTATGATTAATAAAGTGATTATCAAATATGTATATTAGTGTTGCACCGATGCCATATTGTGGCCCCGATACCTGGCTTTGCAGTATTTGCTGATACAGATACCATATCAATAGATACAGTATTTTTTAGAAATATATATCTAGAAACTATCTAACAAATACCCTAAATATTTCATTGTTACATTTTTGGGATGGTTGGTACAAATTCCTCCACCTGCCAGAGAATCTCCAAAGAACAAATACAGATAAATGCTGTTTCTTCCTGCACCTTTTTATACTCATGGGAGACATAATGAAATAGAGCTAAGGGCCTAATGTCACAAATAAAAGCCATGAAAATAAGCAAAAACATTACCGATGTAGTTTTCTTTAGTTACTCATTTTTTGTATTGCAGGTCTTTTAGCTGTATATCTATTTAAAACTGTCACCTATTGTATTTTCATGGATTCAACTAATGAACCTTAAATCTGAATTAGCAACCGGCTGAAAATTAAGTTTGCCACAACCCCGAACAAGTGTCTAAATATTACTTCATCCTTTGAAATCAGTTGTTTTCTCCCTGAATTATTCATCAGAGGTTTGTTTATTTATAAAAGGAAATTAAAGAGTGTGGAAAAGCATACATTTTAAAATGCAAAAAAATAAAAAGGAGAACATTCAATATTTCTGTACTTTGTCTTTGTTGGAGAGTTTCTCATCTCAGGCTAATGAGACAGGCGGCCATTATAACAACTACAGACGCACACAGATCCCTCCTAACTCTGCCCTGCTTTGTGGTCCACACGCAGGCACATAACATCTTAATCTCACAGCTCCATCAGAGGCCAGCAGGAAATGTGTTACTCTGACTATGTGTGTGTTTGTCAGGGGGAGAATGACTGAGGACAGCTGGCTGGGCCTGTATCTGATACACCAAGAACATTATCAGCGGGTGTCGGTGGGCAGAGCGAGAGATTCATACATCCCAGTTTGCAGCATGGAGAGACCTGAGCGCAGCGAAATAGTGTGCAGCCAGTTATACTATACGAGAAAAAGGAGAGGACAGGCTGTACACAGGCAACAACACACACAAACACAGCAACAAGGAGGATCAGATACAGTGGAGCACGCAGAGGAGAGGCCGGGTAGCACGCTCACTCGGACGACTTGCATTCACAGGGCAAAAAACTCAATTTCTGACTCACATTATCCTGCAAACTTAGATTTTTTACAGAGAAAAACACATAAAATTCTTTTAAGATCATTTTTTTTATTGCATGGAACGTTTGGCAGTTATTGATGGTGTTATAAAAAATCTCCTCAACCCGTTTAATACAGCGTGATACAGAACTTGGCAATGCATTCTAACCTTCAAAACTTTATGCTCCACTTCCATACTAGACACATTTTTTGCTTTATATTATCTCATAAATACAAAAAACAGTAATGTGTCTGCTCCACGATAGAGTGGTCTCTAGGAGCATCCTCATGTCCAGATGGTAACAAAGCAACACTGTTTCAGCTACTTCCTTTTTCAAAAACAGAACACTGCTGTAACTGAACATACTTTACCTCACTGAGGCCTCTCTGGAGGCTTTTAATTCTCATAAAACGTTAAAACATATTCCTCTGTGTGGAGACATAATACAATATGAAAGCTGCATCATGGTCATGAGTTTATCCAGCAGAAAAGGCTCACATGGCACAACCTGCTGTTAGATAATGGCTTCATGTTTATGGAAGACACAGTTTATCCTGACTGCTGCAGTAATATTCATCAAACATACAACAAACATGTGAAGACAAAATCCACAGTGCTTTGCAAAAGTAAAAATACCCACTACAAACTTTCTATCTATAAACTAAGGATTTTTTTGCAAGCTTTGGAAGTGGAAGAAAAAAATATTCATTCATACTTTTTTGTACATGCGTAAAGCAGAGTTATAAAAGTAAAAAAAAAAAAAAAACATAAAAACAATAAAGAAAATTGCCACGGTCGATATCCCTATGGTGAAACATGTTAGTGGTAGCATCATGCTGAGGGAATAATTGTTCAGAAGGTACAGGAAGTGCTTAATAGATTATAGGGAGTAAGTCCTTTAAGAAACAGTGGTCCTTCAAGCACGATGATGAGCCCAAACATGTACCGGTAGCCAGAATTATATAAGCTTGTTGATAGAATGGGCTAGTTAAAGTTCAGAACCAGTTATATTTAATTATCTATGACAAGATTTGAAAATTATGTTCTTAGATGCTCCCAGAGATCTGTTTGTATATAAAAAAAAATGTATTTCTTTTCTTTCCACTTCACAGTTCTATTTCGTAAGTCTCATAAAATCATTGATATGTGTTGGTATAGGGGTATAAATATTTTTGGCAAGGCACTGCAGAAATAAAGGTCAGTGGTTATACTGTGGATGAATGAACCAGAGAGTAGCACCAAATTCCAGCCCATCGCCCTGTCATAGGCAGGAGAACTTTAAGGATCACAAGTGATTAAACATCAAATTAACATTTAAAAAGCTGCATATTTTCCAACTGAGGATTTATACCCTAAGTAGAGGAATAAATGAATGAGACTTCCTAATGAAGATGCCCTGTGAATATATTTCATAACTTTAAGATAAAACCTTTTTTTGTTTGTGTGTCTGCAGAACCATAGAGCATTATTAAGTGCATATTACTGATCTAGAAGCCATGATTAAATGATTTGTCTCTGTGGTGCTGCCCTCTGCCTGTCGCTAAATTAAAAGCAAGTTCTATTCACAACTTTTAACAAACATTTACACATAAAAAGTGTGGGTTGGGAATTTTATATAAAAACCATTTTATACAAAAACAAAAAGCACAAAAATAGATCTGTGTAAAAAATTGTTATTTTAAAAAGAAATTTGAGGAACATTGGAGTCGCTGTGCAGCTTGACTAAAAAGGATTAACAAAAAAACAACCCATTTAACTGGCATAAACACACACACATTTTAGTTTCCCATCAGAGTGTGTGTACCTGGAATAACATAGGATTCTCTTTTTCCTGTCCAAAACGTGTGTCTTTGCACATGTGTGTGAGGTGTAAACGGAAACAAATGTAAGGTTGTAACAAAGGGGAATGTGAGAGTGTGAGGCAATAACAGGCAGTTCTTTTAGTTTTTACAGAGAGGCTTCATATAAACACTGATTTGTGTTTTTGTTCACTTAAAGTGCGCTTCTGAATATCAATACTGGGGCTGGTACTTGGGGAAAAGGTAGAGGTCTTTGCAGAGTGAGCTGGTGAACTCTGACATCTCTTTGCAGCGATGGTGGGCGGTGCCTGGGGCATACCCTTCCCTCTCCTTGATGCGTGCGTTAACCTAGACAGAGAAAATAAAGCGGACGTCATGAGGCCTTTATTGGAACGCTAAAATATGAGGGGATAAAGAATAAGGAATCGTCTTTCACCTGCACCAGTATGTCTGAGAGATGTGTGTCTTTGGCGTGCAGCCGGAGTGCTGCGTTAAGTTCCTGGATAAACCAGGACCCTCGTTTGGTGTTTCGCATTGCTGCTGTGCCTTAAATAGGAAAAAAAAATAAAACAACAGAGACTTAATACCCAAATAATAACAACAAGAAAAAAAAAAAGCTAACTGTGATCTGGAAATGTTCACTAAAATCAGCAGAAGCAGCAGCTACTTATATATTTATCAAAGCATTTTAACAGATTTTTCTAACGGTTTTCCAATGTGCATAAAATTCACATGGCATTGTTTTTTTTATAGGTTCTCACATTCACAACCACAAAATTCAAAATTGTTAAACACCAAGTAGGGCTGGGATTTGATGCACCTTCTAGAGAACATAACTTTTTTTTTTTTTTTAACCCTTTCAGGATTTTCTTTCTAACCCATCTAGCCCGGCCAGCCAGACTGACTTACAGTCAGTAAATCGGTGCAGTAAGGCTCATTACTCTCCTGTCTTAAACAGACCGGACCAATCACAGCGGGGGAGGAGGACCCATAATGTTTTTCTGTAAAAGTAACAGTGAAGACTGCTGTTGCAGCAAAGTTATGTTTTGATGATGGCCTTTATATACCTAGATAGAACTGATTTCAGGGGCGGTTCTAGACCAAATATACCAGGGGACCAGGAGGGGGCCAGCGTGTTTTCATGGGGGCCACAGAAAAGCATAAAATAAAAAACAGGGCAAGGGATTCAAATATATTAAGAGAGCTGCATGAAATGAAATTTCTATTAATATAGTTTTAAGTAAAATGATATGTCTTATTAGGTCAATATACATTCATAATTTAGGAATTGTAAATATTTTTGACTTCATTTAAGTTAAAAATTACGTTTTCAATAAAATCTGAATTAGAGCTCAAGAAAAACTGATAAATTCAGCTGTAAAAATTAGAGTATTTTTTTTTTTTATTTGTTTAAAAAAAAACATTTAGCAGAAAATTGGGATCCTATCTCAGTACCACTGAAGCTATCACCTTATCTAAAAAAAAAAAAATTGTAAAATAGAATTTATAGACCTATCAGTAACCAAGTCTGTTCCAGCGCAGATCATCATTAGAATTTCTTTGAGTATTATGTCTTCAGTACAGGGGCCATAACAGGGGCCAGGACATGATCTACAGGGGCACTGGCCCCCGTTGGCCCCTGTCTAGAACCGCCCATGACTGATTCTACAGTGAAAAACATTACAACTGTCTGCTGTAAGAGTTTTTCTTTACACTACCCTTTGGAAACTGCGCCGAGATCGGTCCGAGCACGATAATGGAGATAACTGTTGACTGTAAATGGCACGCAAACTGAACCGGACCGTGTCAGACACAACAGAACCATCCTAAACTGGTACTAGTTCATCAGTAGGGCTCAGCGGGGTTAATTTCTGGCACGGTTCTCAGATAACAAAAAGCACATGAGCAGACCGCGTCATCTCCTTACAGTCAGCCTCCATAATCATGACATTCATAAAAATACTAGCTTCCCTACTGTGCCACACGATTTTCTGCTTAGCAGTGTGATGAACCTCAACGTCTGTCATTGTTTCCTGCGTCTGTAAGCCCTGATTAGACTATTGTTTGTCGTATCCAATTCCCAAAAGGCGACTCTGTCAAGTAAATTCACCAAAGGCTGCCTTCTTCTTCTGACTCTCTGCAAACAACGAAATATCACAATTACAACCAAACATAACTTCCTGAAGGTTACGGATGTTTCGCTTGATTTGCTCTATCACTCAATCCTAGAGAGCAGTAGTAACGCAGATCATCACTAGGAGGTGAGCAACCATGCTAGCATGATGTGTAAACGGTCGTAAGGAACCGAGCTCGGCACAGTTAAGTGATCCGAGCTCGGTCCGAACTCGGCACGGATTGGTTTCAGAGGGTAGTGTAAATGGGGCTTAAGATTCCTATTAGAGGTAAGAACAAACTGATCATGAATCATCATGGGTTACCAGGATGTCATAAAGATAAACTGATTGAATACCAATGTGGCTCTTGTAATATGCACCATACATTGTCTAATAGGTAAAAAAAATAAAATAAAATACACAAGAAAAAAAAAATACAGTTTTTTTCGCAAATTAATGAATATAGATCTATATCACAATTCTGTTAGTGGTGTAGCAGTTCAGCTCCAGGCCTTCTCTAATGGACACTTGGGGTCAAATCTCCAGTACTTACATAAGAGTCATTTAGCAGTAAAAACTTTCATAAACAGCAGATATGATTTTGTCACAACATTCTGTTATTCCCAAACTACAGAGCAGAGTTCTGCAGCCATTAATGATCTCCTGTTATTTAATTTTTCTCACTAAATAATCATAATAGAAGGAATAAAATGCAGTGTAGGAAACAGGATAAACTTACAAATTCTCTGACCTTTGAGAGAAGCGAAGCCACAGATCATATCTGATCGCTGAGGCAGTTTAATCCTGGGCCTTCCCATGTTCCGTCTTGCCATGTCAGCATCCCGTTCTCCTTCCCTCCCAGCATCGTGCTGCTCACAGCTCGGTGAAGAGATCCTCACTGGCCCATCCAACTGCTCAACTCCACAGTCCATCTCATCTATAAGAAAACCGGCTCCAAATTAGTGGTTCACATAAAAAATGTTAGCGTTAATATCTGGTGGGTTAGAAAGCTGAGGCACTTTAGGTAAGAGGATATTTCTATTATTTTACTTGTCTCCCACAATTCCATATTGAATAACCATATTGCATAAAAAGATGGAGCAGGGATGTTGTAACGTGGTGTAATGCCTATCACTGGAAACCACCTCTCTAGTGAGGTGAAAATCTCCATTATTCATGCTTCAGATGATCCATGATCATACTGAGCCTTTAAGTTCTGTGCACCACGGTCATCCCAGCAGTGAGGAAGGCGCTCTCCATTTTGGTTCCATCTCAGGAAAGAAAACAAATCTGTCAAAACATAATTTCCTTCAAAGCGTTTAGGCACCTGACTAAAACATCTTGATATCTGGGTGTTGACAGTGCTTTGAAGAGCTATGGACTTTGCTCTGTGATCACTACTGAGCCCCTGATTCAAAGGGAGCATTTCCTGCTGCTTCTCACGCCAGCAAACCTACAGCTAATCTCACACAGCAGAGCCCTATAGAGCAGCAGATACAGGTAAGCTAGAGCTAAGTAGCTTCTCAATCCATCTATGGGTTTTTATTGCAGATGTCTGAGCTAAAAACGACTGGATTATATCCAGAAGAAACAGAATAAACTGACTGGTCTAGATGATTATTACATTATGTCACATATGTTTAAAATGTTCTGTATTATTTTCAGGATATCATAGAGGACCAACTCTTAAATATTAAAAATAAAAACATAAATAGAAAAAAAAAAAAAAAAGGCCTAAAAAAAAGGAAAAAAAATAAAAGGAAAAAAAAAAAAAGAAACCGAAAAACCTTGCAAAGAAAAAAAACTTTCCTTTAAATAACCTACCTAATTAACAACTTGGAAAAATCATTTCTGCTTTCACACTTCAGTATTTGTCTGTATTTTTCCTTATTATCTTTGTAACCACAATCATTTCTTCCATGTTTTATATTAATCGTCATTTCTGCGTCATTATGCAAATGAGGAGGGTGTGTTCTAAAAGGTAAAAAAACTTTCTCCTTTTGGTTGGTTAGACTGCATAGACCAGCCACAGTCATAACAAAGATGGCTACCTACCATGAGGTCATATTTAAGCTGAGCTGAGGCATCTAGAAACTTTCCTGACCTTCTCTATTTATGTGACACTGACAGTTTGCCTAAACATAAACACAGATGTTTAGAATTCCAGCCCGTGCATCAGGAGTACACATTCAGTAAAAGGAATTAATAAAGTCTCTTGTCTCATTTCTACATAATTTAGGATGTTTTTTTAAAGTAAAAAATGTGTGCTGTCACTAAATCTTTCATAGTGGGTTACAAAAGAGGAAGACACTTATTGAACTCCATTGGTATCATAGATGAGAACTTTTTCACAAAATTAGGTTAATCAAATGATCAATACACTAAGCGCTGAACAAGTGAACAGCTCTCTGGTAATGTTCAGATGTTAAATGAAGATACTAAATGCTCTGATTGTCCCATGAAGCTCCCTGCTCGTCTAAAACAATAAATATATCCCACAACCATCACCCCAATCTCACTTACATTAAATTAAGCTGGTATTGAAGAATCTGTTCCTAGTGGGGCCCAGAAATCACATGCCGCCCCCTTTAAGCCTATCGCTTGTGGGTTAAAGGTTGAGTACTTTGTAGTGTTTGTTGGGTTCATCCAGGCCACAAATCAAAAGCATCTATTAGCACCGACTGATTACAGCCCTGCTCTTCTAGAGCAGCGAATAAAGGGAACTCGGACATGATGTATGGGTCAACAAAAACAAAAAACACATAGGCCTGGGCAAAAAATGTATTCAATCTTATTCAAATTTTTTGTTATGAATTAATTTATTTATTTATTTTAAATAATGGCGCATTTTTGGCTGACTTTCTGTGGCTGTAGTATCACTCTCAGGTTGCAGTATGGCAAGCGACAGCATCACAGGAAAGAGGAAACCACATAAATACAAGTGAGGGGGAAGTTTCTTCTCAAAAAAGGAATAAAATCATCTGTTGTTTTGAACTGGTTTTAACAGGGCTTAAGGTTCTCCAGCGTAGTGGTGGATTTTACGGCGTGCAGACACTGCGGTTGGGGATTTAATTTTTTTTTTTCAGGAGGGTAAAATAAACTTGTTAACGTGAGTATCATAGCAACACCAGCGATAAGTCTGCTATGATGACGTGTCTTTTGGCGCTTATCAGAACGCATTAATACCTGAACACAGGTTTAATAGGAGGATGGAGGACGGGAGCGGGGGTCAGTTACAAGAACGAACTGCTGTCAAGATAGCAGAAATGGCAGTAAATAGCAGCTTATAGAAATTAGCAATATGCAAGGTTCCCAGCGAGGGAGGGGGGATGGTTTATTTAGATGCGGTTGTATTAGAAGAAATGCGGTTGTGTATTGAAAGGCATTCTTTAAAATGTTAGGAAAAGGTTCCCGGTCCATATAGCTAACAAGCCAGTTGTTAACAGAAGCTGGGCCTCCAATAGCGCAACGCTGTGGTGAAAATCCCAGTTTCTCCTTGACAAACAAACCTGCAATAAATATGAAACCTCAGCTAAGAAACAGCTAACTGGAGCCAAATCTGTTACACAAAGTACCACATATGATAGGAAAGGAACAGGATCACTTTGCGCATAGCCAAAGACATGGTGCCCGGTTTGTACTTATTGCTTTCCTTAATAATTAGGGGCAATTTTTTTTTTTTATTGTTAATTTAGTTAGAAAAAAAAAAAAACAATCTGACATTTAATTTTTTGGGCCATTATCCTCCAGCCACTTATATCATAATTACAGTGAAGCAATAGCTGTGCAGTAGAGGTAAAAGCTCATAAAAGTTAATTTTGCATGACATAGGGCCTATATAGTATATATTTAGAAAAATAATTTATATTGTAAATAAAGTCAAAATGATCCAATGATGAAACAATGATAAAATGAAGGTTATTTTTGCAAAGGTGAATAAATAAATAAGCAAATCCAAAGGTAATACCTTTATATATCATTTTATGTTCATTTACTTAATGCCTATCTTTATCTATTTGCTATATTTTTGCAGCATTTGTGTTGTTTCTTTTATTCCCTGAGCATTCGTTTATTTTTGTATTTATTTAGTCATTTACACCCTAGCCAGTACTCTATTTAAATTACCGTACGGCTTCGAATATCTTCAAATAAAATAAGTAGCCAGTCGGAGGATATTCAACTTGACGCGTCCTTTTACTAGAAAAAAATGTAAAAAGAATATCAAATACTTTTCTGATCAAAAAACAAAATTGTGACACTTAAGCCCCTGTCACATCTTGACTATTTAGACCAACGTATGTCTGACGTATGAAAAATGAGTTATGCATATGTTTTGTATAAGTTATGAGCGCACTAAAGCACGCTGTCAAACATCGACGTACGGCAAGTACGTCAACGTATGCCAGCATAAGTTACAGGTAAATTATTTGATCGTTGACATATGTTGATTGTAAGTTACTCATAAGTTGTGGTGTCTAGCTTATCCAAAACCTATGAGTAACTTGTGCATAACTTACGCGTAACTTATCAAGAACTTATCTCCAACGCATATCAAAGTATTTGACGTGTTCCAGATGACCGCTGAACGTTTAACAGCTACCGTTTAATGGCATATTGGAAGCGTTTTGGTATAAAAGGAGATTCACAGGAGGAAACTGTATGTTCTCCTCCAGACTTCTTCTCCATCACAGGGTAAGCGTGACGGTAAATGTAATGGATCATCCCTGCCTTCCACAGCCACGACCAACAATCTTCCTAGAAGACATGATGCTGAATCTGCTGTGACTGCAAACCTTCTTTCTTTCTTTTTATTTATTCGTTTTACTACCATGATCAAAGAAATCTTTTTATGCAGACCGGGCGCCTCCGGGGACATCGCCGTTCCCCTCAGGAGCAGTGATGCGCCTGAGGCCTGAAAAAATCCATAGAAATTTCAGTGTATGCTAGCGTTTAAGGAGATTCTGGGACATCAGGCATACGCTGGCTAAATCGGCAAGGTGTGACAGGGCCCCCAGTTTTACATCAACTCTATGTTGCAGTGAAAACCTGTCATTAGACACTGAACCTGTTTATACTTGCACAGCATAGTTTTGTGGTACATTTCCATCTACATCTAAGCTGTGTGGCAGCTAGATGGCTGATAAAATAGCAGTAAGAGGAAGGAGACGCACTCTTTTCATCAAATGTCTTCGAAATGTGAAACTTTCAACACACTCCCAGTATCATCCCTACTTACCTCCTCTGCAGGCTTGAATGAAGAACATCTTTGGCTTGTTTTGAAGCAGTGGACAATGTGCGTTGTCAAAGGCCTCAAACACCCAGTCCAGCTAGAAAAGAACCAGAAGATTCATGTTCAATGCTAAAAAACAAACCACCATTTATTATGCTAAAATACATTTTGTTAATCATTAAACAAATTCACCTGAATAAGTTTTCCATCTGTGCCGTAAATTGCTCCCTCCACTCCGTGGGAGAGCAGACACACAACACAGCTGTCCACTGTCCGGTGTTCAGGCCGCCTGCAAAAGGTCTCAATGCATGTCCTCATGCCCTGCTCAGATTAAGGAGACAAGTAGTTGAAACGCTTAAGCTAAAGCAATTAATTTCAACATTTTGTTTTATAAATAGTTTAATCCGAATCAGCTAGATGCTGCTCTAAGGGCGACGTATTTGAGGAAACTAACTCAAGACACAAAGCTTCTCACACTTATGACTAAAATGCTATCTTTTAAGTTTTTAGGTTTCCCATCTGTAAAGATTCATTCTCATCTGCTAAACCTGGAGAGTAATCCATTGTCTCACCTGAGCAGTAAGGTCTCTGTGAACACTGACATGGTAGTCCAGCTCTGTGAAAACCTTCCTGAGAACCTCATCATCCACTTCACCTCCTTTCCTTGGGTCAAGGTCTGGAGCAGAGCAGGAGTCAAAGCTCACGTTACTGATGACCAAGGCATAGCCTCGGGGCGAGGACTTCATTCTGTAGGACTAAAACAGGGGAAATAATTATTTATATATATATATATATATTTATATACATATGACAGAAGAAAATGGATTTTAAAATGTCTACAAGCTATTCAGAAATCTTAAATCTTTTTTTTTTATAACATTTCTAATATTAAAAAATACAATCACGTTAAATTTGGCTATGGAGGCCCCTTTATGTACTCTAAATTCTTAAGAAAAACTTTACTGTAAAAGGAACATAAGATGCATGGATTATAAAAAGGCTTTGAGCAAATGCTCTAGTTTTACCAAATGAATTATATTTCTAAGCCCTATCAAATTTTCTATAATAGAATGGTTTACTGATAACTGCTCAAATGCTTTTTAGAAAAAATACAAATAAATCACTCTTTTTCATTTTTTAAGTTCATCTTCAACTTTTAATAGCATATACAGCAGTGTGGCTGCAGCTCAGATGCATTTCTGCCTCCAAAGAGACACTGAAAAAATTTAAGCTGTCCTCCTGTTCAAGGTGGCTGTCCACCTATCCACTAATGCCACTTCATAAATCAGCCTGGGACCTTTAAAGCTAGCATTTTTAAAATGTACTTTAAGCTTTTAACTATCTTCCTTAGTAGCTTCAGAGATCCAGATAAAATTCTAGTTAATTTCAGCTCTGGGATGTAACTTGGTTATTGAACAGATATCACCCCATTTTAATGCACTAAGGAATGGCCAACTTAAAATTCATTTAATTAACCCAAAACCTTTAAAATTTATATTCCAGCAATAAAGGTGCAAATTAAGTAACAAGAAAATTTGGATCTAACTTCCTAAAACAGATAAGTTTAATAGAAATTCTGAACTCTAAATAAGTCTTTTCTTAATTTAGAGACGCTAAACAAAGGCTAGCTGAATCTAGAGTTCATTTTCTGTGTAGGATTATCAAAGCAAGGTAATATACCTGCTGGCAGTGAGACAGATAGAAGTCAGGAGAACATGGAAGAACAGGAGTGTTGATGGGACTGTCAGCATCGAGACTGAACTCCATGGACTCTGCTGTAGACAATCAAAAACAAAAGGCTAGTCTTCATTGTGTTGTCTCTCAAAGAAGTGAATGTGCCTACAAGTGTTTTTACAACTAACACTGTGCTGTACAACATTGCTGTGAATGAGTCACTATTAGGGTGGGGTGCCAAAGAGCAACAAGAAGGGAGGGAAACTTAAATTGTACACCTTAGATACATGTCACAATGACTGAGGAGGTAAAGGAAACCTAAGAACGACAAAAGAGTAATTTTATTACGTGGCTCCAAACTGTATTTCTGCTAAAGATTTTATTTAATATCTTTGTTCAACTAAAACAACAGATAAAGCCTTTATTGTTCAGATGCAACCTTTCTGTATCCCTGGAAACAAACACTGACAACAACACTGGACTCAGAGTAACCTAATTTACTTTGAATACAGATGCAACAACCTGCAGTAACTGCTCACCATGTGTCCTTGCTCTCTTCGCAGCATATTCCTCCTGAATTGGAAAAGGTAAAGAAGACCTCGGAGTTCTCTGAAATAAAAAAGGAACATAATTATATTTCCACGGCTTAAATGTTGTGTTTCTAATCTTAAACAAACCCTCAGGGACTCTCTTGTGAGCAGTTTGACAAACTCAGCTGGACTCTCTACATCAGCATTAACAGGTACTGAAGATGTGATCATTTCTTCATCCGACTGATTGTAATTTCCTCTTGCCTTTTCTGTTTCTTTGTCTTTCTTCCTGTTTCCCTCTCTGACTGGGCTGATCTCTCCGGAAAACTCTGAGGATGTTCCATGTTCATCCGAGGAACTGGCTGAGAAGGACGAGTTGCTGCCCACCTCTTTCCATTCCTCAACATCTACTAAGGATTTCTGCAGAAGACCATTTCACTAGACCTTCACATTCTTCAGCATTTCTATCAATTGTAAGCTGCGGTAGAAATGCTAATAAATATAAAATAATTTTCAAAAATGTTAAAGGTTTGTCTAAACCCTCTGCCTTATGGGAAATGCTGAAAGTCTGTAGTCCTCTGTGGATTTTAAGCTCTCTGCTAACCTTTCTGCTATTTTGCGCGAGTCGTTCTGAGTTTTCTTCAGGCGCTCTCTCAGGCTGAAAACACTGCAAGCATAAAACAATATAAAGAGTAAGCAAAGCTGAATTCTTCAGCTGATATATAACAATGCACAAACTTACATCTACTTGTGTCTCCTTGGCTTCCATCTCCTGTGATTGTAATAGTAAGTTACAGAGATGCTGCTGCTCTGAGCCCTGGAGAGCCGAGCAGAAGCTCTGGAAGGCTTTGGGTCCTCGTTTTGGTAGGAGGAGTAACAAACGCCAGCTGCGTTTCTGAGATGTCTCCCCTGCCTTGAATCAAAGAGATATGAAGGAAACGTTAATGTTCCAATTTCTTTAGCTCTCTGATATTAGAAAAAGGCTGTGATCTTTGTCCTTTTGGCTGCTCCCTCGTTCAGAGTTTGTCACAGAAAGTTGATATGACTTGCTCTCAGACAGTAAAGTTTATATATATATATATATGTAAACTCAGAATGGTCACAAATTGGTCTGACAAAAATACAGATAATTTGTGAAAATAAACTTGAAATGTTCTTCATAGATTTTTTTTTGTATACGTTCAACCAGATGAGGCTAAAACTATAATTAAGTAGTTATGAATAGAGCATATTTACAGAAAAAAAAATCACTGATTAATCAGTGATCAGAATAGTTTTTTCTTTCATCTGATGACATGTTTAGGAATCTGTATACTCCAAATAACAGTTATTACTATTATTTCTATAATGGATTAATCATGTTAAAACTGATCATTATTTTCCAGCCAACAGAATATATCATTAACTTGTAAAGTGAACTGAAAAATGGCTGCCTTCTAAACACTCCATCTAATTTATGACTCAAAATTTTTCAGTCCATATTTTAATTTAATTACTTTAAAGCAATTGTATTGGATTGTTTTAGGATAACATATTAAAAAGAAGTTATTATGACTATGTATTACTCATTCAGGTGCAGTTATTGTTTGTGAAGCCTAAGAGTCTAATTATATAAATAAGTGTAGTTGTATGATAAAAGTCATGTCCCCACAAACTATGTTATATGTCTGTAGATATGGTCTCTTCATTGCTGGGCTTAACCACAGCGAAAGGGACAATCAGAAGCAAGATATTCTGATATACAAACCATGGGAAATCTGTACCTGCCTTGGAACGCTATCCATCTGCTCGGTCAACATATCATTCCAAGTGATTTAACGAAAATTATATTGGTGCTGTTAACCATTAAGAAATGTGCTAATAAATACGAAACAAAATACAATAACTGATTCATTTTGTCAAGCCTCCCTTTAATTTTTTTTCTTATCTCAATAATAACCCCTTGTTAAAGAAAAGGTTAAAAAGAAAAAGTATGGAAACCATTTTTACAAGTGTGATATGGAAGTTCTTTAGTTTGAAATGAAAAGTTTGCATGAAATGCGAACTGACAGATCTCCCAGAATAGCCTATGGTTCTAGATCAGAGTTCAGTGGAATTATTGGAAATTATATTCGGACATTTTCTATTGATATTGTTCTGTTTTCTACCAGGATAAACATTTATGTTGAACCTTAAAAGAACTTCACTATTTTGTTCTACATTTTACACCAAGTAGATCTGATGTAGTACAGTTGTAGCACACTAACCAGACTCGGCCAATAGTTTAAATTACAGTGTAATTGAATGTCTATGTTGATATCATGCATAGTTTAAATGAAAAAGTTGCTTTAATTCCTACTTTGTTGTTGTAATTATGCCTAACAGACCAGTAAAACACAGTTAATAATGAGACAGCACTTATATTTTAACCTACGAGATTAAAAACAAAAACAAAAAACAAACAAAAAAGAAAAAACTGCAAGGCTGGTTTCCCCTTTTTTGTGCTTTTTAACAAGCCAATGGAGGTATACCATCGGTGCAGACTTACCAGGATGTTTTCTGCCATGTTCTCTGTAAGGATGCCATCAGCTTGTAGTAACTGGATGAACAGCTCATCTACAACCAGTTCTTTGCACAGAGCAACAGAGTTTTTCCGAAGAGCCTTTTTATCCCGTTCAAGCATGCCGCACTCCAACATTTCCCTGCAATATTCTGTACCTACAGAGCAGCAAGGTAAAAAGGTTCGTGTTAATCCGAGCACACTGTTGCTGCAAAACTATCCCACGTTACCGTTTGTACATAAACCGAGCATTGCGTGTCATTAACACCAATTCTCGAGATCTATCAAGCACATTACATAGTATTTGCAGGGTAAAACGACATTTCCTAACGTAATGACATATGAATTACGCTTCTAACATACAGCACGCTCTATAATTCCGAAATGAAGAAAAAGACATACAGGTCGATGAAATGAAAAAAGCAGTATAAGTTAACACGCAGGTAAAAATGTTAATTAAAAGAAACACACAAAAATATTATTGAGATTTGATGCTATCCCGAACGTTAGAGGCTACTGTCGGTGCTAGCTAGCTAACTGGCTAACTTCGACTTTTTCGTGTATTTAAGTCATATTAAAACCCTCGAATCGACACCAACAACTTACCGTTACCGAGTCTACGGAAAAAAATGTCAGACTGTCAGACTGCAACAATAAAAAAGTATTAACGCCTCACACAATGTTATGCAAATTGAGCTCACATATTATCATCACCCAGGTCAATACAGCGACCAACTTCCGCGGGGTACCTGACAGCACAAAACCAAGCAGGCGGGACTTATTTAGGTGCATTGGCCAATGAGGGTGGATTAACTCCTGAAAGACATTTCCAGTAACCAATCATAGGCCAAGCCCTGCTTGCCGTAATATAACAGGGATAAGAGCATTTTGAATTTGAATTGTAAACAAATAGCCAATTGATAAGGACTGCTTGGAAGATTAAGGAAGTTAGAAAAAATGGAAACAAATAATTATTTATTTCACGTCTGACGAACTATACATAAATATGTTTTATAGGGAGTTTTAAATTATTGAACAGTTTTATGAAACCCACTAAGAACTTACTTTATGTAGAAGACATTGCCAGCAGCCAGAGGAGTAAAAGTTAGATATTTTTTTTCCACAAACAAGATATATGGCATTTAAAGAGAAGTTATAAAATAGAAATACTGTTGAAAGAAAGCAGTCATAAATCTAATATAATAATAATAATAATAATAATAATAATAATAATAATAATAATAATAATAATAATAATAATAATAATAATAATCTTTATAGTTGGCCGCAATTTTGTGGGAAAAAGCAAACAAAAATAAATGTTATACTTTCTGACCAACATTTGAAATACAATATGTGGTGGACAACTGACTTCACATAATCCTAAACACATCATCCCCATGTGGGGAAACAAGGCGGAGAAACTATCACATTGTCAAAATATCTTTCTCCAGCAGAGACAATAAAGCTAGAGAGAGATAATAAAAATACAGAGTTAAATACAAAGCAATTTTATCCAACAGAAAACTTTCTGTTGGATAAAAAAAGACTTTAGGACTGGGGTGGAGGTTTTACCACCAGCAGGGCAATGGACCTTAACATACTGCCAGAGTTACATCAGACTGATTTAGTTAAATGATAAGTTATATATTCAATGACCCAGTTAGAGTCCAGATATATATTTGGTTCATAATCTTCAGTAAGACTTAAAAATAATATTCACAGATACTCTCCAACTGTTATTCACTGATTACAGTGAATCACAATTGGAAAAAATGTAGAAAACAAAGAACAGTGATGACTTTTCCCAATTAATCCTGTTAATTAATTAAGGGGGCATAAACAACTTACTTTGGAGGTCAAAAAATTAGAAAATAATATTGAATTCGGAGTGGTCCCTTTAAAGGCTGGAGTTAAATCTAAGCTGTTTTGATTGTGTATTGATTGATTGACTTAATTGATCTCACAGTGGAGAAATTTACATGTTACATGAGCTCGAATAGTCCAAGTAGAAGAATGTGCCAAAGGAAGAAAAAGCTGCATGGGATATATACAGTATATACAGTGCTTCCACATTTCTTTTTTTATAGTATGATCATTATACAGGATTATTGGACATTGTATTTATATATATATAGTTATTGCGCTGGACATCAAATATAGAGAAACAGGTTATTGCACAGGGTATCAAATAGTAATTGCACATTAAACATTGCACGTGTTATTGCCATTGTAGTGTCACATTGTAGAGTCTAGTTGCAGCAGGGATGAATGACCTGCGGTCACCAAAGGAGCTGTATAATAATAAATGGGACGTTCATGTCCAAAACCATTTAAAATATCTACATTTTTTAAATTCTACAAATAGGGTGAGACCAACGTCGCCCATTAAGAAAGTGAAGGTGATTTTAGTATCTAAGTGTAACTAAAAAGCAAAAACTAAAATAAATCTGCTGTAGTATTTTCTTTTTATCTGCATGCGCTACTGTGTGTCACATGAAATCATAGTTAAACACCGTAAAGTTTGTGGTCACAACGTGACAAAATGTGTAAAAGTTGAAGGAGCTGGTAATGTTTCACCCAAAACATTGGCTACTTTCTAACATTGGTTCCCTGTAATGGCTCTCCTTTTTTTGACTATTAGAATAGGAACACCTCCCTTATCTACATCTGCCTTTCTTTCAGTTTCTTTCCTCCCCTTGCCTTTCTGACGTTCCCCTGCTCCCTCCACCTCTTCCTCTCCTGCTGTCTACCTCCTCACCCTCGCTGTGTGTGCCATCAATAATTGATGATTCTCACTGACTCAAAGGGTAACAGGTCCGGGAGGGAAAGAAAAAAAAAGTCTCACTCATTTCTTTCTTTATTTCCTGGTCTATCTTTAAGCTGAGTCCACCTGTGATAAACCACCATATTCTGTTTATGTGGGAATCAGTGGCGCAAGGAAGCAGTATGACTGAGATAGTTTGAGCGAGGCATTACATGTGGCCATAACTGGGTTAACGTTGCCTGTTTGACAACAGGACGAAGGGAGGAAAGGGAAGCTTAAATGAGTGAGAGCTGGGGGTGGGGGGGCAGAACAAGGAGGAGGAGAGAGAATGAAAGAGTGAATTAACTCAACCTTAGGCAGCCCTGATTGACTCGGTTCCAAACTGGCATGTAGAAACATTTATGGTGACAACAAAGCCATGGAGAGAGAAAAGAGGAATGACATGTCCTTCTCTAGGAAGAGAAGTTTTACTTTTGGGGCATATGGCGGGTGAGTGTACGCTTATTTTCCTCAAATTATTTCTGTCTTATGAAAAATAATTTAAGCAGCTGAGTTTCTCATTAACAGTGTGGACAAATTCACCTGTGGGGATGAGACAAGGTAAGGCTTTGTTTTTCATTTATCAGGAGCCTTTTGGCTACATGAGCTGGAAAATAAGTTGACCAATTGTGTTCACTTGTTGAGTAAATCAAGCTGTTGTTTCAGACCTGAATCTGTGGAGGGAAACATTCTGGAGGCTCTGCATTCTCCAACCACTGGAAGCAAGCCTTTCATATCCTCCACCAACAATCAAAGGGTGATCTATCTATACTGTTCTCCTTTTACTTTTGTGCTCACATGCAAAGTCACTGTTATGAATTTTAATGTTTTAATCATGTTCCTGTTCCCCCCTCGCCTGTTTCTTCTTCCGCCTCAATTGAATGGATGTGTGTGCAGGATGCAGAACTGTTTGAAATCATAATGAAGCTGCAGGTGAGTTTCAGTGCGATTGATCGTATACAGTGATTCTTGTGTCGGATGATGTCTGAGCAGCAGAGCTTTGTTGTCATCGGTGCTCTTGTCCATCAGGGCAGCAGGATCGATGAGCAGAGATGCGAGTTCCCGCTTCCTCTGAAGGTAAGGGATCATGACAGTAAGGGAAAAACTGAGCTGACTCACTCCACAGGGCTGTATGTGTGTTGACACAGGCATTTTACAATCACTACTATGTTTCCTCCAAAACACATTACATCTTATCTGGTGCTTCTTTCTGTGTGTTTTAGTCTCAGCTTTTGAAAATAGGTGCAGATCTGCCTCTCATTCTTCCCTCCAAACTGGGAGGCTACTGGATTGACCCACCTCTGGAAAAGCTCAGAGATGTGAGTCCCACCTCGTCCCACCATGGTCTCGATCCAGAGAGCTACGACATCATGGAGAGAGATGGCGAGGCCAAAATCTACCATGAGTTTTTTCGCTCTCGAGTGAGTACGGCTTAATGTCCAAATTTGGATGTGGTAAGATTGGTGGAATGGTTTGAAAGTTTTAAACCTTTTTTCCCCAACAGTACCACCATTCATTCATAGCTGTGGATCCATCGCTGGGGCCTTTGGTTCTCTCTGTATGTTTGGAGGAGGAAGAGAATAAACTTCGGGTGATTTTAAGGTCCATTTAAGCTATCCAACAACATTTTTTTGATATTTTTTTCTATCATAAGCACATATGTTTGGGGAATTCTCAAGGAAAGTTCTGATTCAATCAATGTGTTTGTAAAAAAACAAAACAAAACAAAAACAAGAGATGTGCTTGAACTTTGACAACATCCACATTTTAAATGTTTATGTATTTTGATATTTCGTAAAATAAATTTACATGGTAGTCAGAACGTTTATGGGAAAAAGTAAGACAGTTTGTTTCTTTAGCTCAGAGGAGCCGTAGTAACTTGTTTTTCATCCCACAAATCACCTCAGGGATAATGGCCCAGATCCAAACACTTATTTCTGCACATCTCTCTGCATAGTCTCCCAACTGAATTTGTATTGGGTTGAGGTCTCTCTCTTGGACAGTCTGTTGATGAGTTTCTCCATACTTTCTCCTGTCTTAAGCATTATTTTTCTTTTTTTTGTTAGTTATTACAGCACTAGTGGCACGTTTTATGGACAGTAGGCTGACAGGAAAGGGGGTATGAGAGAGGGGCAGAGACATGCGGGAAAGGACCACAGGGTCGCCCACGCGGAGGACTAAAGCATCCATACATGGGTCGTGTACGCTAACCACTGTGCCACCAAAGTACGCCCCCTGTTGAGCTAGTTTTAACCAAGATTTAGCATTTTAAAAGAATGTTTCACTCTTGGCACACTAAATAGTGTGTTGACAACAAGGTGACCAGATTATCCATCCATCCATCTTCTCCCACTTATTCCGTCAGGGTCATGGTGGGGCTGGTGCCTATCTCCAGCAGTCTATGGGCGGGAGGCGGGGTACATCCTTGAAAGGTCACCAGTATGTCGCAGGGCATCACAGAGACACACAACCATGCTCACACTTAAGGACAATTAATAGAAGCTAATTAACCTAACAGTCATGTTTTTGGACTGTGGGAGGAAGCCGGAGTACCCAGAGAGAACCCACGCATGCACAGAGATAACATGCAAACTCCATGCAGTAAGACCCTGGGCCAGGAATCGAACCCAGAACCTTTTCGTTGCAAGGCAACATGGCTACCCACTGCAGCAGTATGCAGCCTTTGCCCAGATGGCTGCAAAATGAACCCAAACTATGCACTGACAGTGGATGCTTGTCATCAAATGTGGTGCTGTACTTTATATTCAAAACATCCTTACTTTTGTTTAATCTGAATAGAACCTTACATAACATATTAGTTCCTTTTGGAACAAAAGTTATGCTTAAAGTACATGGAAACAAATCTCAGGCTGTCGTCTTACTTGCAACTTTGAATGTGCTAAGTAAAGTTGGGAGCTAGATTTGCCGGGACATTAACTCTAGAAAAGACTGGTTATATTGAATAATAATAACCTATTTTCTTGTAAAATGAAGCACTTAAATACTTTTGAAATATCTTAGCAACTCTTTCCAGAATTGATTGCAGCAACTTTTGCTTCTTTATCACAAATGCAGATGAAACTTCACATCTACAACCTGCCAAACAAGGTTTTATAGAGGTTGTGCTTCCTTGTAATTATAAGGTAATCTATAAGTGATCATTTTCCATTAATTGGAAATGGGTTTTGGTAAAAGAATCTAAAGGAATTTTGTAAAAAAGTTCAAAATATAACATTTAAAACAATATTATATAGTAGTGCCAAAAGAAATTTGCTGGTCTGGCTTTGAAAAATCTGTAAATATAAGTGATCTCCCATTCCTAATCCCTTGTTATAATTTTAGAATAACATTTCAGGATAATAAATGATTCGACAGTTCTTGGATGGATTTCCAAATGTTTACAGAGTTTTTTTTTGTTTGTTTTTTTACCATTCCTCCACTATATCTTTCTTGAGGCCAGACACTGATGATGGACAAAAGGACTGGCTTGCAGGCTCTTCTTTATAATCATCCTATAATTATTGTTCTGGGTTCAGGTTAGGACTGTTGGCAGGCCAGTCCATTTCTTGAAAATGTATTTCTTCTTTTTTTTAACTGGAAATGAGGAAAGCCCAACTCCTGAAAATCAGCTGGACCCCATAACTCCCATTCTACACATGATACAATGCAGTCAGCCAAGTGCTGTTCTCCTATATCCTGCCCAAGCCAAACCCAGCTCTTCGATTACTACACAGAGTTGTGAATTACCAATTGAAAAGTGATTCTTCACTCTAATATAGATATCCCCAATGCTCTAGAGTCCAAATGCAGGATATGTTTCAGAACCCCACGAAACACACTGGTAGCGTACAGATTAGACACAGCTAGTGGGCGTTAAAAAAACATTCCAGAAAGGTTTCTCCGTCATTGCTTCGTGATGTAATGAGGCCTACACATTTATGGCTGAATGGCTATCACTCACAATTACTTCCTCTTTTCTATTATCCCAATAAAGTGGACTTTGGGTCATTTAGGGGAAGTTTCATGGCTAGACTTTCTGTACATTTGACGCCCTAATAAGGTATGAGGTTGGAAATTCACTGAGTTCCTGAGATCATGCATTTGTGACCACACGGCTGGATTACTGTAACTCACTTTATACAGGGGTCAGTGACATGTATATTTCTCATCTTCAGAGGGTTCAAAATGTTGCTGCACGTCTTTTAACAGGTACACGAAAATTCGACCACATTTCCCCTGTTTTAGCTTCCTTACACTGGCTGCCAGTACATTTTAGGATTAATTTTAAAATTCTTTTATTTGTCTTTAAAACTCTTAATGGCCTTGCTCCTTCTTATCTGTCTGAGCTGTTACATTCTTATACACCCTCCCGTTCCCTCGGGTCAGCTGATCAGTTGCTTCTGAGGGTCCCAAAGACAAAATGCAAGCTCAGAGGAGACCGTGCTTTTTCTGTGGCAGCTCCTAAGCTGTGGAATGATCTGCCTCTCAGCATAAGACAGGCCTCTTCTCTTGCTGTTTTTAAGTCCCTTCTTAAGACTCATCTTTTTTCCTTGGCTTTTGGCACAATTTGAGAGGTTTTACTTTGTTTTATTCTTTTTGTATACTAATATGTATTTTACACTCGTTTTTTCTCTATTTTATAATTTTATTGTATTGTATGATTGTGTACAGCACTTTGGTCCTGTTCGGTGTATAAAGTGCTTCATAAATAAAGTTGGTATGGTATGGTATCGTATCGTATCAACACATTCACTTAAAAATAGTTATAGTTTAATCTGCATGACTGGGTACTGGATGTTAAACACCTGTTGAAGTGAGAGGAACGCCTGAATTTGGTTATTCAAAAGCATGATCTTGTGCTTTTGATCATGTAAAAGGTATATTCTATTTGTTTTTCAAAAACAGTCTATGTTTGTTGTTACACAGGAGCAACAGCATCACAGAAGAAAAACTGCTTGTAAAACATTTGTCCTTTTTTTAACCCAGGATGAAGGAATGTTCCCTGCATGGCACTTTCTCTTTGTCCCTTTTCAACAACATGCCATCAGCTGTAGAGTTAGCAAAGGTACAGTAGTAAAAGTTATACTGCTATTGGATTATCAGAATGAACTATAAAAGAAGTTCTTGCTTTGAGTTAAGCATTATCTTAGTATTGTAAGCTTTCCTAATTCAGAAGAAGCAAATGATGCTGTCAAGTTTCATTTGTTTCTTGTAACGAGAACTCTAAATATAATATGCATGTGTTAATAAATGCAAAAACTCTTCATTTTTGAGACATAACTTAAAGTTTTTTCTTTACAGAGGCTGTGTGATAAAGTGACGGTCTCCAAGTTTGAAGTGGTCAGCTACCTCAAGGTTACCCTCCCGCATACATATCTAATTTAATCACACATAAGAACATGACTCAGCTGCCAGTAATAATAACAAATACTATCTTGTGCAATGCACTCTCCCCACAGATGCTAACAAATGATGTCTGCCTGAAAAATGATTGTCAGCATAAACATTTTTGTCTACTTCTTCCTACAGGCTCCAGACCTAATAACAGCCTTTGATGAGCACAGAGTCTCCTCTAATTTTAAGTTTGGTGTTCTGTACCAAAAGGAGGGGCAGGTAGGGTTTAATATAAACCTCACTAACATCTTAAATATCTAATGACATCATCACAAAGTCTTCTCTCTCAGATGTTGAATTTGTTCTCTGTAGTTCACAGAAGAGGACATACTGAGTAACAATGAGGAAAGTGAGAAGTTTAGAGAGTTCCTGTCCATTCTGGGAGACGTTGTTCAGCTGCAGGGATTCACAGGGTAAAGTTCATTCAAAAAAAATAACACGTTTAATCAAAATGTGTAGTTTAAAAAATGATTCCATTTGTTTGCATTGGCTAAATATTGATGTGTTCAAGCTTCAAAAGGTTTGTGTGTTTTGCATGCACACCAGAAAAAGCTATTTTTTTATTTTTTGCGATTTTACCTGCATGTACATAATTCACATATGCTAATGACAAAACTGAGCATATCAGTGTGTGGAGGTTATGCAAATAAAATAATCAACATCCACAATGTGATTTGTTTATTCATCTAGTTTTAGCATATTTGAAAATCGGACCTCAAACACAAACAATTTCTGTGGCCATTGTTGCCCCAAAGGAGATGCTGATACAATAAGAGATGATCGAGAGATTCTGTTAACATTTTTGAACTTTTATAAATAGATACATGATATTAATGGAGACACAAAGAACACTTTTTCAGGTCTAATGATTGATATTTTAGTCTTTCTATTTAACCTTTGTTATTTTGATTTTTTTTTTACTTTGTTTGTAACACTTTACGTTACTTATGTAAATGCACCATAGTAAGTATTTATAGTTATTATAATTTTCATTACCTTTTTATAATCATGATTACCTTCAACTCCATGGCTTAGAACTTGTACAAAAATTAAGCTGTCAGCAGCAAATGCGTTTTGTTCAGCTTAACAGTGTGAAACCCAACCAGGTTACAGGCCTTAAGTTTTGCTGCACAATCTTTGTCGATCAGCCTCTTATTGCACATCCAGCTTTTAGTGTGCTCATGAAATTCAGCATTCCTTTTTTGGATTAATTGGTGATCAGGCCCTAAGTGTTTGCGTCAGTAGTCTGTTAGTAACACTAAAGACAAACCAAAGAGGGAACTGTAGGCTGTAGTGGTGCATCATACATACATATTGCACCATCATGTTTCACTGATTCTCATCAGTTTTTTCATTATACTTTATCTGCTTGATGATACACTAAACGTTCAAGACTTGAATGAAAAAATAAATAAAACTGCCCAATTTCAGAGTGATGGAATCAGTAACTCATTGACAATCAAAAACACAGAAAGATTTTTGATTGTCAGTGACTAAGTTTCCTGCACTTAGTCAAAGGATATTCTAGTTACTACAGAATTAGAATTGAACCCAAACATGATTCATAAAATATTCTTTGTGTTGTACTACACAGAAAAAAGCCACATTCGCAGCATTCTTAAATTGTTGCCACTTAAAATCGTTTACTGTGATTTCACACCAAACAAGATTTGATTGTCAGAATGTCTGATTAGCAAGCAAAGTCTAGGTCTATAAATGACAAGTCTTCATGGACTTATTTAAAGATATAGTGGAGAATTTTTGAGAATTTTTTTAAAAGACCCACCCTCTCCACTTTAAAACAAAAATACACATGCACAACCCTGTATCCGCTCCTAGAGGGAATGCCTTTTAAACAAGTGTGAGAGCATGCATGAGTCCATTTCTCCCCATGCATGCTCTGTTTAAAAGTTGCTGTTTGCATCGCTCATACAAGCTTACTTTGCAAAAGAAGATTAGCAATTTTTCCACTATTGCAGACTCACCACCTGTAAGTGAAAATGGGGACGAGCAGGTAGAGTGGCCTTATGTAAACATTTCACCAGAATGATTGACAATTAGGAGGAACACTGATTTTGATGATCCACCCAGAAAAAGAACATCCTCCTCTATACCTTTAAGTGCATCCACAGTCTTAACAGTGGTGTGTAACTGTATTCAGTAACTACTGCAATAGAGCTGCTGCAAAGCTGCATTTTCTTGGTTTATATCTCAACATTGGAACATCTACAAGTGCATCTCTATGAATAGAGATTGCATATATTAAATTAACTTAATAGTTCTATTTAAAGGCTTAAAATAATACATTTCCAGGATTCATCTCTCACACAACAATGTTTTCTGAAATGTACTTCCAAACATGAGAATATATCTACTGTCTATGGGCTTACTGGTCATTTTAATAAAGTGATAAATTGGTCAGTTCTGTTTGGCCCAACACCTGCTAGCAAATGAAAATAGCATCTCCATAAATGTTGTCAGCACAGGGACACATTAAATACTCAAACTCCTACTAAATATCTCTGCTGACTGTAGACTTGATGAAACATGACAAGCAAACAGAAGCAGATGACATAGGGTTCCACTAAAAAAACAAAATCATGCATTTTTTGCATCTACTTAAGCATATTTAATTACTTTAACACAATTGTTAGGACATGAGACAATTGACTTTACTATATATATCTATATATAATATAGGCTGTGAGTTTGAGATGTGTTATTGTCCCGACACATTCTATGTTAATGGCTAAGTTGCCTACTAAATTTGCCTTCGAATCCTCTAAAGGTCTGGTAGTCTACCAATAATTGGATCTGTGTGTTTTAAACAAGGGTTATTACATCTCAAAAATGAGGTCCAGCCTCGAGGGACAGTTTTGAAATCAACTGATCTATGTTAATATAAATAAATCTCACTGTCTTAATTTTTACCTTTTAAATTAAATTACTGAAATGAATTTCTATGAACTAGTTTAGTTGCCAAATAGTAGCCTACTTATTTTGTATAGTCCACAAGCCCTGTTCTTCTTCTACTTGTCTCTGGTTTTGAGATTTTTTCTTTATTAACTTAGAAAAGATGAAAAAGTTAGTCACCAAACTATGGTTACAGTGGATCTTATTTGCCCTTTTTTAGCTTCAGAGGAGGACTGGACGTGTGTCACGGCCAGACGGGAAATGAAGCAGTCTTCACTTCCTTCAACGGGAGAGAAATCATGTTCCATGTTGCAACCAAGCTGCCTTATACAGAGGCTGACCCTCAGCAGGTTGGAGAGTCCAGAGTGTGATTCACAGGAGGCAGTTCCTGAAACTATCTCCAGAAAGTTTAACTGCAGGACAGAAAGTATCTGATGCTAAAACTGAATCTAATCCCCCCACCCCCTTTTTTTTTTTTTTTTTTTTACAGTTACAGAGAAAAAGGCACATCGGTAATGACATTGTAGCTCTGGTTTATCAGGACGGACAAACACCTTTTTTGTGTGACGTCATAAAGTCTCACTTCCTTCACTGCTTTGTTGTGGTGCGGAGAGTTCAGAGGGAGGAGAAGGCAGGTGGAGCTGCTTACCAGGTGAGGGTCAACTGGAAATTATCTAAATATTTTTTTTGTCACTTTGAAATTTGAAAGATTTTAGAAATAAACAACTTAAGGTGAATATTTGCAGTGTCCTCTTTATTCAAACAGCTCTAAATACTTTCTTTAGAGCAATGTTTCCCTACCTTTTTTGACTTGTGTTCCCCTTTGGGCATTTTGTCTTACCATGATTATCCCCCTCAGTCAAAAGTATTGATGATTGTCCAAAAGTAGAATGTACAACAACGCAAATAAAGACTATTTCAAGACTGATCTCTGTGAGAAGCAGAACAGAGAGATACAGATGACCTTTTGTCCCGGCTTCCATTAGACAGTTCAATGCTCCTAAAGGGACTGAGTTTTATTATTATAACTTTTTTCTGATTATGTGTTTTTTGTCCAATTTTATATGTTTTTATCTCTGCTATTGAACTATCTATCTATCTATCTATCTATCTATCTATCTATCTATC